TACATTTGTGAGTTTTTTTTACCATTGTTGTGAGTGTTTTTATTACTGTTGTAATAACTATTTTACTGTTTTTTTAAATATAATAATAATAATAATAATAATAATAGTTACAAATATAATAAAAATATTCACAAATATTATAAATTTCAATATAACACCAAAATTTTATTTTTTTGAATCATTGTCAGGTCCAATCAAAAAAACATACATTATACTTGTATTTAATTTGTTTAATTTGAGTTCCATCTTAAGTGAACCCGTGGAGCTTCAAAACAATGCCGCCCTGGATGACATTCAACCTTATGTGGTACTGAAGGTGACACAACACAATGTCCAAGCGTGACACGTTCAATCAAACCCTTTGGACAAGACTGTGTTGAATGAATATTTTTCAGCGTCAAATAAAACAGAAAATATTCATTACAAAAGGTGACAATGTAATATAATATTATTAATTAATAATATTAAAATAAATAAGTATCAAAAAAATTAACAATCAATTTGTCGTGTAAAAAGCATCTCCAACCCACTATACATTTTCTCTCTTTTGGCTATTTTAGTTAGCCAAACACAAAATATTCTCTATCCCACTCTTTATTTCTCATTTCACCTAAATTGTTCTCCAAATTTGGAGAGTCATTTAAACTCTTTAACTCTCTTTCTACCTTTTTCTTTCTCTATCTCTCTATATATACATATTAGGTGTAATCCGTACTTCTGAATACACAGTGTAATGTAAATAGTTTTAAAAGGGATGTTAGTGACTGTTGGATGACTCTATTTGAAACTATCGTATGAACTTATTGAATTTTGCTATATTTTATATTATAAATGTATTTCCTTTAAATTATTGGAAGTTAGTAAAAGTTAAGTAAAGTAGTTAGTTAAAACAAAGTGTGTGGTTGGAGTGAATTTGTAAAAGTGACTAGTTAAAATAGATAATATAATATTTAAATATATTTTTAGATAACTATTTTGGAGAGTTGGGTTGGAGATGCTCTAAGCAAACAACTCTCAACTCTTTATCTATGTAAACTCAAACGAGGTTCACCTTACTCACATGGTTTTATTATTAGTTAGTAATATCAATCAACAATTGTGACATGGTATTACCATTGCATTCAATATTTACTCTAAATAAAGTGATGTTTAATAAAACTAAAATTTGAAAACTAAAAACTGAATATTGAATTTTAAGTGGTGAGTATTGAATTTTTTAATTTATAAATTATTTAGTATCCACGGCAACTACCTTATTCTTACTACCACCATCACAATGGTGGTGGTGGTGGTGGTGGTGGTGATGACGATACAATGGTGGTGGTGGTGACGACGACACAATAGTGGTGGTGATGATTACGGTAATTGTAGTTGTGGTGGTGATGACAACAACGACACAATGGTGGTAGCGGTGAATAGTTGGTATTAAAAAGTTAAGAGTGCAAAATACATTGATGATACATTTGTTCATTATGAGAAATTTATAAAATTTTTACTAATAAACACTTTCAATATTAAATAATAAGTTGGCGGTTTGCTACTTAAAATATTAGTCACAAAAATTAATAATTATTAAATCTATATAAGATAATAATCATTCATTTAAAAAAATTAGTTATTATCTATGCCTGAATGCACGAAATAATAAAAAAATTATAACTTATAAACATATTTATATTCATACCTAAAATAAAAATCACAAAAAATAGAGGGGAAAAAAAATTAAATACTAGTAGTAGTGAGGTGAGCGATGATAATAATGGAAGTGGGAGACAGTGATGATTTGTGGTGGACAACGATGATCGTGATGGCAATGACAGTCATAGGTGGCAATGGTGATGGTGGTGGTGGTGGGTGATGGTGGTGGTTTGCAATGATGGGTGCTTGTGGACGACGGTAGTTGTGGGTGGTGTTTGGTGTGGTGAGGGTAGATGATAGTGAGTAACAGCGGGTGGTGGGCTATGGTGGGTGGTGGTGGTAGGCATGATAGAGGGTGGGTAATAATGGGTGGCAGTGATAGTGGGTGACGACAAGTAGTGGTGGGGGTGTGGTAGTGGGTGGGAATGGGCAACAATGGTGGCAGTGAGTGGTGACGGTGGACGACGACATTGGTGATAGGATTAGGTTGTGGTGGGCCGACAACCATGTTGAGGCAGTGATGAGCTGGTGATGACGATGGTGGTGGGTATGAGTGATGGTGGGGGCAGTGGCAAATGGCAACCATGGTGATAAATGTAGTGGGGGGGGGTGACAGCAGTGGTGGGCTATGATGGGTGGTGATGGTAGGTGTGATAGGGGGTGGGGTAACAATGAGTGGTGATTGCGGTGGGCGACAACGAGTAATGGTGGGCTATGATGGCTGGTGATGGTAGGTGTGATAAAGGGTGGGTAACAATGAGTGGCGGTTGTGGTGGGCAACGGTAGATAGTGGATGGCGGTTGGCAACAATGGTGGTGGTGGGTGGTGGAGGTGGACGACGACGTTGGTGGGATTATGGTGATAATTGTGATAAATATAAGAATAAAATGATGATAGGAGGTGATATTGGTAGCTTGATGGTGGATGAAGAAGATGGTTATGAGTGGTAGTAATGACGGTGGCGATGCTGGTGGTGGTGGTTGTGATGAAGGTGGTGGTCAGGGTGGTAGAGGTGGGCGACGATAGTGATCGCAGTGACGGTGGCTATAGTGGTGGTGTTGGTTTGTGACAGAGATGGTGGTGAGGGGTCATAGAGGTGGCAGTGGTGGTGGGGAGGTGACAACGGTGGTAGGGTGCTAGGGGGGTGGTGGTAGTGAAGTGTTTTTATAGAGAAATGATTTTAACAAAGTATATGTTATTTTTATTAATTTTTATTTATTTTCTTATTTAAGTGGTAAAAGTAATTTTGACTTATTTATATGGAATTAAAATAAGTTCTTAACACTACTTTTTTTTTTTAAATTACTTATGAAAACTTATAAGTCTTAAAAATATTTTTAAAAAATCACCCCAACAAACCCTAGGGTTCTTATTTTTCCTATTAAATTTTGGGAGATAGAATTACTGTCGGATTAATTTTAAAATAAAATTTAAAATAATTTTAACAGCAAAAAATAAAATTATTTTTTATGTTATACTTTGCTATGTAAATAGTTAATGACATGAAATTACATTGAATATTTACCCCCAATATTACACAATAATTGTTGGTTTTTAGTGGTGAATAATTAATACAAATAATACTTATTGAATGATAGGAACTCAAATATAGAAAAACAATAATATACTCTTTCAATACACCATATCTACATTCAAAAATCAAAAACTTATATCTATATATTATTCATTAAAAAATTAATTATCTAATAATTGACCACGTAATGCACACTCTTATTTATTGGAATAGAATTCTACTATTAACCCAAAGAAAGTCTTTCACTTTTCCCAAAGTAGCTCTCATTCCACCGCACAAAGAGAGGGAACGTTTTGTACACTTTCCTGCGTCAAACAACGTTATGTTTGTCTGCCTCTCGCTATCCGTAACCGTTCCTTTATAGGCTTGTAGTTATAGCTCTATGGACCCTATGGTTGCAATGGGAACAAAAATCCAACTCAAATTCATCCGAAACAGTACTATACAAATTGTTTTTTTCTTCTCCGGTATAACACCTATTATACTTTCATTTCACAAAATTGTAAGAGAAATTCAGAATAAAATATGATAACCAAGTTCAAGTTATTCTGAAATTACAAAAAAAAATGTAAATAGCTTAATTGGTCAAATAATTGTGATGTTTTATAAATTAAACAAACTCAAAATAAAATATTTGAAAACAATGGTCTTGCTAAAATTTAATAATACTTGATTCGTTGCTATTATTTAGATTTCTTTTTACTGGGTTATACCTGCATGTGTAAAGCATCATGATGTGAAAAAGAGTTTTGACTTGGGTAGATTCTTTTCTACTTGAGCTAATATACTCTCTCTTCTTCACAATAATTTGGGTGAATTTTTTTTGTTTAATGTACTTTCCCAAAAACTAAACAACTTGGAATTTTATAATATTTTTTGTATTATAACCATCTCTAACTTTTACTAAAAAATGTTAATCAAATTTAAATTTCAATAAAAACTTGTTAAAAATATCAAATGAAGGCAAATACAATTTTTTACTCAAATTAAAAAAAGACTCAAATTTTTAAGAGTTCATTCTTATTTAAATTTGAGTTTATTTTTAATTTTTAATTTTAATTTGCCTATTGAAGTGCTTTGTACCTATTTAAGTTTTTTAACTCGCATGTTAACTTAAATTTGATTGAAAATTTAAGTAAAGATTAGAGATGATGTATTTAAAATTAGAGTGTTGTATTTGGATTGAATGATATAAATAAAATAACAAAAAAAAAATAATACTAAAATTAAATTAAAATTGAGAAAATCTCTCAATTAGTAAATCTCAATATTGAGTTTTCTTTTGAGTTCGTTTGTTTAGCGGGAGAATAATAGAAAATATAAGAAAGAGAAATTTTTTAAAATTTTTATATGTTTGGTTAGTATGAAAAGGTAAATGATAGAAAAAATAAATTTTTTTCACGCTTAAATTTTCTCACAAATAATCAACTTTTAGACTAATTTAATATAATTGAAGGTAATTTAGATAATTATAAAAAACATATAACTTTAATTTCTTTTAAACAATAAAATAATTTTTTTAAAATTTTCTCATAAATTTTTCATTCTATTTAAATACATACGTATAAATATATTTTTTATTATTTTCTTTTATTACAATTTACTTTTGTCATTTCTTTTCTTCCTCGCAAGACGCACTCTTTGGAAAAAGAAAGAAAAACAAAAAAAAAAAAAAACTACCATGGTAATGGTATTGGTATATTCCATTATATTCTTTCCCAAATCCTCTGTCTCCCTCTGTCTCTCTCTTCTATAAAGCCTCTCAACTAACCCCAACCCAAAAACATAACCATTCATCGAAAAACCCTGATCACAATTTTACCATATCATGTGTGAGAGTCTCAAGAACGAGTACCAACTTTTTGAAGAGATCGGCCGTGGTAGATTCGGTACTGTCTACCGCTGCTTCAGCCCATCTTCCGGTGAGTTCTTCGCCTGCAAAACCATTGACAAACGCCTCCTTACAGACCCAACAGATCGCGAGTGCTTGGAAAAAGAACCCAAAGTTCTCCAACTCCTCAGTGGAAACCCCCACATACTCCAAATCTACAAACTCTACGAGGACGAGAACTATCTCAACATCGTCACTGACCTGTGTGAATCCCCTGATCTTTACGAGAGAATCACCAAATCTACCTTCACAGAGTCCGAATCTGCGACGATTCTGAAATCGCTGATCTCGGCGATAAGTTTTTGCCATCATATGGGTGTTGCTCATAGAGATATAAAGCCTGATAACATATTGTTTGATTCGAGAAACAGATTGAAACTGGCTGATTTTGGGTCGGCGGAGTATTTCGGCGCCGGTAATGAGAAGGGGACTATGAGAGGGGTGGTTGGTACGCCGTACTATGTGGCGCCGGAGGTGTTGATGGGGAGAGAGTACAATGAGAAGGTTGACGTGTGGAGTGCTGGTGTGATTTTGTACATAATGTTGGCCGGAGTTCCGCCTTTTTACGGTGAGACGGCGACGGAGACTTTTGAGGCGGTGTTGAGGGGAAATTTGAGGTTTCCGACGAGGATTTTCCGGTCAGTATCTCCAGAGGCGAAAGATCTGCTGAGGAAGATGATCTGTAAGGATGTGTCCCGGAGGTTATCTGCCGATCAAGTTCTCAGTATGTGATTAATCTCTTCACCAATCTTCTTATTTATGTTTACATGTATGATTTTTTAGTTAAATTTAAGTTATATACCTTACTGGGCTTGTTCTTTTCCTTTGATTTGTTGATCATTTGTTTTGCTCTCTGTTTCTTTGTTTTCTTTGATTTTTGGTTTTTTTTTTTTTGAAGTTTAACTCAATTTTTTCCAAAAAAATTATAGACCCAGTTTGATTGTGAGAAAATGAATTCATAAAGTAAAGGCAAAATTTTGTTAATTCTAGTTGTTTACTTTGCCCCCAGAATTGTAGCCTTCTGTTTGGTTACTGAGAAAATGAGGGGAAAGAGTTGAGTTATACTTTTTTTCTGCTATGTTGTTGTTTGGTTACTGAGAAAATGAATTCATGGTTGAGTTGCTTGTAGTTAAATAGGTTTTGTCAGATAATTTTTTTTTTTCAAGCTTCTAAACTTTGGCTTCTTTATTCTGTTTCCTCTGATTTTTCACATCTGCCAAACACGCTTGTGGTTAGGCATCTTTTTTCTGCATTCTTATCTTATGATGTGCTGTTTATTTAATGCAGGACATCCATGGATCATTAGTGTAGGAGAGACCAGATCAATGGCTGATCTCACCTGAAAATATTACTGCTATTAAGTACTAACAACCTTTTGGTGTACATGAACCATGTAGAAAGAGGAGAGATGAAAGTCCCAATGAATCTTTGCTTTGCTCATGCACACAAGGACTGAGGACTTTCTTGTTTGGTCCTTTTTTTTTTATTTTTTTATTTTTTGTTCTTTTGTAAGTTTTGGAGAAGAGTTTGAGATTGTAAATATATGAGATGCGGAATGATAAATAAAAGTTTGTTTGTGAATCAGATGCTGAGAATCCCTTCTTTCCAGACCTTCTGTTTTTTGGGTCTAAGGAGTGAGCAGGTGAAAAAAGCACTGGTGCTTATGTGTAATGTCTTCTGTTATGGAAATTGTGGATCTGCAATAAAAATTTCCTGTTTTGCCGGATTTGCAATCCGTATGTCAAAGTAGGGGTGGCTCGAGGGCCCAAAGTAGAAATGAAAAATAAGGGTCTTTTTATTTTTTAATATTAATAATAAATTTAATTTTTAATTTTTTTAAATACCAAAATATCAATTAAAATTTTATATTCAACTTTTTATGACCATATTTGCACTTAATGGTAAAAGAGAAGACTGACTGAAAAGTTAGACGGTAAGATTAAACTTAACTTTTTTGGGTGTTAAAATTAGATTTCTTATAATTAGTTTATTTATTTTAAAAAAATAAATTTGGAGATTTCTTTTAAAAATGAGACTTAAACCACAAACTTTTTTGAGAAAACTGTTGAGCCGCCCATGTGTCAAAGAAATACTGTGCTTCTATTTTCGTTTATGGATTTTTATACTAATGCAAATGGTATTTATTTATTTTTTTTTTTTGTGCTGGTATGCAAATGGTATTGTTGTTATATTATAGATGTAACATCTGAGAGAATAGTTTCTTTATCAACAATGTTTTTTTCACCTAGAATTTTACCAAATTTTTTATCTCAGAATGAAGTTATTCTTTAGCTATTGCAGGTTTCATTATTTTTCTTTCACTCCGTCCTCTCATAAGTCAAAAGATATTGAATGATCGATTCACCATTGAGAGTATTAAATCCAAAAGGACCAATATTATAATGTTTTAACAACGGCAAATCAAACAAGAATTTAATGAGCGAAATCTGCTTACCAAAAAAAAAAAAAAGGAGCACTTTTTTCAATTCCAAAGTCTAGTAACGTCTTCTGATGTTATTCTATCACTTTAATCCATTCTTTTATTAAGGGTCTGATAATTATTTCGCCTTTCTATTTACATAGGGAAGAAATGAACTACAATTTGGTAAAAAAACTAGAGGGACATAACATTTTCCATTATAGAATTGTGTAACTCATGTGTGTCGAGATCCAAAAATAATAATTTAGATAATTTTTTTTTTGAATATGGAAGAAAATATAGGGGATATGCTTTTTGTCATCAGCCGCCTTCCGACTTTCTTTTTGCCAAATGTTTGGAAATTGCAGGAAATTTGGCACACGTTGGAAAATTGCAACTGAAACAAAAAAGGGCACCCACCTTAAAGAATATATGATTAGAGCATATTACGAGAATATCCTTTGTGCCGACTTACAGTTTTCTTGTTCAAGCAATGTTGATTATGTCACTGATTACATCAATCTTCTTTTGTTTTTTTTCTTGGGGAATAAGATTCCGAGTCAAAATTTCGGAGACTTTTTGATATGATTTCGCGTTTTGCAAGTTATTCTACATATTAGTTCCTACTACTGCCTTTGACTTGACAGCTGATGTAAATTGCCTATCATTCAAAGCAGGTTCTAGAAATCGAGCCAACTTGCCCTTATGCCTGGATCTTCTCATTTGTTGGACCTGGATATAGTCTCGTCAAAAAAATTTCGATTCCATATCTCTAAAATTTATTATCTTAAAAAATATTTTTATAATTTTTGTAATTAATTTATCACTTTTATGCGTATTTTTAGTACTGTTATACGTATTTTTATCATATTTGTGGCAACTATTTTTACCACTTTTTTTAAGTATATAAAAATTTATCACTTTTGTGGATGATTTATTAAATTTGTGAGTGTTTTTATCAAATTTGTGAATTTTTTTATTACTATTGTGATAATTATTTTTACAATTTTTTTGAGTATCACAACAATAGTAAAAGTACTCAGAAATATAATTAAAATGACCACAAATGAGATAAATTTTGATATGATACCGAAATTTAAAATTTTGTTACTGTAGTCAAGTCCCATTTTGTATAGTATCAAGTGATGATCAATTTTAATTAATCATTTAAGATGACTTGACTTTGCTACATGCTTTTAGATGTGTTATGCCTTTTATCGACATGTAAAACTTGTGAATCCGAAATTGTTGGATTTGAATACGGAAATTGCTAAAAAAAAATTTTGGACAATCCATTCATTCATACGAACAACAAGAAATAATCATTTAAATACTAAAACCTTCATCCATTCCGTAATGAATAAATACTAAAGTTAGTAAAACAATGTAACTTCTCTAGCTTACAACTCAAAACTAAAATATATTTAGCAGTGAAATAATTTAAATCGANACTTCTCTAGCTTACAACTCAAAACTAAAATATATTTAGCAGTGAAATAATTTAAATCGAACAAAAACATTATTTTATAAAAGTCTCTCCAACATTAACGGAAACATCTCTACTTGATAGAGTTCGACAGTGCCCGTAAGCCCAACCTCCCCCCAAGTACGTAGCATGATCGTGGGTAGTTGTTTTGTTATTTGTTGCCTTGTTATTNAAGTCTCTCCAACATTAACGGAAACATCTCTACTTGATAGAGTTCGACAGTGCCCGTAAGCCCAACCTCCCCCCAAGTACGTAGCATGATCGTGGGTAGTTGTTTTGTTATTTGTTGCCTTGTTATTTGGTTTCTGTTAGATTGTTCCTTGTTAATACGTAGTGTTAGTTGTAATGGGTCATGTGAAGGATAGTGGTCTACGTGGGCTAGCAATCTTGTGTTCTATTTATGTAACTTGTGGTGCAGTAGTATAGTTCAGTTTTGAAATTACATTGTAAGTGGTTTTCTCCTACCCAAAAGGAGTTATTAATCAGTATTTTTTTGCACATATTATCCGGGAACTATCAGTGGTATCAAAGCAGGTTCGATGGCCACCAACAAGGAGCGTATCGAGCAGCTTGAATCATGGGTGGAGGAGGTTCGTTCTGGAATNGTATTTTTTTGCACATATTATCCGGGAACTATCAGTGGTATCAAAGCAGGTTCGATGGCCACCAACAAGGAGCGTATCGAGCAGCTTGAATCATGGGTGGAGGAGGTTCGTTCTGGAATATAGCAAATGGAGGGTGGACTTGCAAACCGACTGTAACAACCTTTTTTTTTTTTTCCTTTTTTTGGGGAAGGGGAAGGGGAAAGGGAAAGGGAAAGGGAAGGGGGACTAGAGGAGTTCTTGAAGGAATTATCTCTGTCCTTCGCAGCTTCTTGACAGTTAGGAAAATAACCTCACGGGCCTGACAAAGGGAGCTCCTCAATAGGGGGTGATGGCAACTGATATTTCAATGGTGCTCGTGTGATCAAATTGGAATTTCCTTAGTATAGCGGCAATGATCCAACGAAATGGTTCAATAGAGCAGAGCAATATTTTAGTTTCCAAGTAACCCTGCAAGATCAAAAGGTGCCCCTTGCTTCATTTTATATGTAGAGGGAGGCCAACCAGTGGTGGCAGTGGCTCAGTCGCATTTATAGCGATATGGAAGCCTCAATCATTTGGGAGGTCTTTACAAAGAAGCTTTGGGCAAGATTTGGCCCCTGCCAAATACGAGGACTTCTATGAAGCTCTTGCTTGGGTCAAACAAGAAGGTTCATTGAGGGATTATCAATGGGACTTTGAGAGGTTAGGCAATTGGGTACAAGGTTGGATGCAAAAGGCAATAATTGGTGTGTTTATTATTATTTTTTTTTTTTGGGGGGGGGGGGTTCAAACTAGATGTTGCAGATGGTATCCGTATGTTCAAGCTGAGGACTTTAAAGGATACTATGGCTCTTGCACGGATGAGAGACGAAAAGAAGGCGGTTAGTGACTTGATCCAAAATGTGTACACCTAAGTGCAGGCGGTTAAGCTGTAGTAATAATCCTGTTAAATTCGGAGTCGAATCCACAAGAAACTATCGTTGGTATTTCAAAGTAAGCAATGACAGAGACCAAGTGACTGGAAGCCTTGAAATTCGAAGTTATGAGATTTCCTGGACAGAATATAAGATTCTTTTCAAAGGATTTTTCTAAACAAAATATAATAAGTTATCAAATGTAACAGTTACCCTTTAACTCGAGAATCTGAATATGTAATTAATCATCCGGTTTATTATACTTGTACTTGGTAACTCAATTAACCCTTAAGTCAACATGAAACTAATCGGAAGATAAGG